TTCATAATCCAGTCGATGACCAGGAGAAAGAGAAAGGGTGAGAGTAAGCAACCTTGCCTGACACCGGTCTTCACCTCGAAAGAGTCGGTTAGCTGTCCTCCGTGCACGATTTTGCAGTTGAATCCATCATAAGAATTCCGTATGATGTTAACTATTTTCTCAGGCACCCCGTAGTGTCGAAGAAGAGTCCACAGTGTTTTCCTGTCCACGCTATCAAATGCTTTCTCGAAGTCGATGAAGTTGATGTAGAGTGGTGAGTTCCATTCAATTGATTGTTCCACAATGATCCGTAATGTAGCAATTTGGTCAGTACACGATCGATCCTTCCGAAATCCGGCCTGTTGATCTCGAAGTTGGGCGTCTACGAAGTCCTTCATTCTGTTTAACAATACTCTGTTGAAGACTTTGCCTGGTATTGAAAGAAGAGTGATGCCTCTGTAGTTCTCACACTTGCTCAGATCGCCTTTCTTTGGTATTTTGATGAGGTATCCTTCTTTCCAATCTGATGGTACTTGTTCCTCATCCCAAATCTTCTTGAAGAGGATGTGAAATATTTTCGCGGTTGCTTCTACATCTGCTTTCATTGCCTCTGCTGGAATGTTGTCTGGCCCTGCTGCTTTGCCGTTCTTGATTTGTCTGATGGCCATACTGATCTCCTCAATCGTAGGTGCGCCAATATCAATTGGGAGATTCGTGGATGCTGCTTCGATGTTGGGTGTGTTCAGTGGAGCTGGTCGATTCAGGAGTTCCTTAAAGTGCTCTACCCACCTATTTCGCTGTTGTTCAGTGTTGCTGATTACTTTGCCTTCCTTGCTTTTCACTGGTCGTTCTGGTTTACGATAGTTTCCGGCGAGCTTCTTTGTAGTTTCATACAATTGTCTCAAGTTTCCGTCTCTTGCAGCCTTTTCCGCCGTCGTTGCTAGATCTTCCACATATTTTCGTTTGTCAGCTCTGATGCTCTTCTTCACTTCCCTGTTTGCTTCTGTGTATGCAGCTTGTGTGGTAACTTTCTCCGCTCTTGTTCGGCTGACATTGATTGTTGCTTTCTTGTTCCTCCTTTCTTCAATTTTTGCGAGAGTATCAACAGAGATCCATTCCTTGTGATGCTGCTTCTTGCGACCAAGGACCTCCTGACATGTTGAAGTGATTGCCTCCTTAATCCCTTTCCAATTGTTCTCCAATGTTGTGTCCTCTCCATTGAGTAGATCCTGAAAGGCCTGGAACCTATTGGTGAGGGCTATCCTGAATTCGTTGAGCTTTACAGTATCCCGAAGAAAGGCCGTATTAAACTTGTGTGATGTTGTCTGTCCCGTTGTCCAGTGCTTCTTTAGTTTCAGTTTCATTTTGGCGATTAGCAAATGGTGATCTGAGGCTACATCAGCTCCTCTCCTGGTTCTCACATCCTCCATAGTCCTTCTGAACGTTTTGTTGATACAAATATGATCAATCTGGTTTTGAGTAGTGTGATCCGGTGAAATCCATGTAGCTTTGTGTATGCGTTTGTGCGGGAATATTGTGCCACCGATTACCAGTTTGTTGAAGGCACATAGGTTTGCAAATCTCTCACCGTTTTCGCTTCTTTCTCCCAGTCCATGTCGTCCCATGATGTCTTCATATCCAGTGTTGTCCATGCCAACCTTGGCATTCAGGTCTCCCATAAGAATCGTCAAATCCTTTGGTGAACATTTCTCGACGATTGACTGCAGCCTTTCGTAGAATTGATCTTTGTCGTCGTCATTGTAGTCGTTGGTAGGTGCATAACATTGGATGACGTTCATTGTAATGTCCTCTTTCTTTGTTTTGAAGGATGCTTTAATGATCCTCGGTCCATGAGATTCCCATCCTATTAGTGCCTTTTGTGCATGTTTGGACAGCATCAATGCAACTCCTTGTGTATGTGAAGCATTTTCCTCTTCATGACCAGAGTATAACAGCAGTTCCCCTGAAGCAAGTCTCAGTTGTCCTACTTGTGTCCAATGTGTTTCACTGATTCCAAGCACCTCGAGGTTGTATCTTTTCATTTCTGCCGCAACTTGAAATAGTCTTCCAGTCTCCCACAATGTACGAACGTTCCATGTACCTAAAAAAATGGTTGCTCTGGTTGTCAGAAGAGGCATCGGCCCCGTGACTTCCGAGGGAACTCGGCTTTTATCACGCGACGTCATAATTCTTCTTCCAACTCCCAGGGCAGAGTTAAAATGGTTTGAATTATTTTTTCTGGTTAGCGTTTTTTTGGCAAGTTAGTTTTTGACGGAATGGGGTCGCCAACCCCATGTCCAACCCTCCTCCTTTACCCGGGCTTGGGACCGGCAGTAGCCCCTAAGGTTCTACTGCATCACAAGACAAGCCCTCACATGGAACCCTCAAGGCAAAAGGAAAAGAGGAAGGCCAAGGAACACACTACGCCGAGAAATAGAGAAAGATATGAGAGCAATGAACAAACATTGGACAGAACTGGAGAGAGAAGCCCAGGACAGAGTTGGTTGGAGAAAACTGGTGGGCGGCCTATGCTCCATTTGGGGTAACAGGAGAAAGTAAGTAAGTAAGGTAAACGATTTTCGGCGTTACAGACTCAAATACGGCCTTAGATTTATCTCATTCATCCTCGATCAAGCAACTGACTATGACCGATCATTAAATTAGGAAAGCAAGGTATCTGATTGCCAGAATATTTTTCTGCTTGCTGACGCCTGTTGCGCCTCTTGGAACATATCCTGCGAGCCAGGATTCTCCATCCAGTTCTGTACAGGGCTCTCGTTTCAATCTGATCCTAACTGCAATTCATTATTTTCGTGCCGCTTTCCAATGCTAAGTGCAGTATATTCTTTCTCTAAATTACTGCATGCTTGGTGATGCAGTTTGCTGATTTATGCACCTTATATCTTATCCACATGTAGCGCCGACCAGTGGATTCGGAGTATCTTGTGTAGGTAACTGTTCATAAAAACCTGTATCTTGTGGGTGATAGGTTTTGTAATAGTCCGAATTTCCACTCCATACAATAGAGCAACCATTTTGACGTTTGTATTTAAAATACAGAGTTTCTGTTTGTTGAATCTTTTTTAGTTCCACATATTCTTCATTTGTAGAAATGATCCCCTTACTTTGCGAGACCCGTTTTTTCACTTCTGATTCGGATTTGCCTTGTTCATCAGTGATGCTACCCAGGTAATTAAAGTCTTCACATCCTCTAGACAACTTTTGTCAATCATGATTTGGTTGGTGCTAGCTGCGTTTTACTAGAGATTTGATCGTACTGCTTCCTTACTTTTAAGTTCCTGAGCCCACTGCCACAGAGGCCGCTTCTACACTGACCGTCTTCATCTATATTTGTTGTTGGGGGTGATAGATGTCGAAATCATGCAGCTTTATCGAGGCCGTTCACTGCATCCCTTACTAAAACAGAGATGCTGACGTTTTCATAATTTAGTCAACCACCGGGAAAAAGAGAAAGGGTGAGATCAAGTAACCTTGCCAGAAACCGGACTCCACATAGAACGAGTCTGTCAGCAGCCCTATATGAGCAGTTTCACAGTTTAATCCATCATAAGAATTCGGGTAGATGTTGCCTATCTTTTCCTGGTATTGAGAGCGGAATGATTCCCATGTAGTTCTTACATTTGCTAGGATTTGCTTTCTTCAGTATTTTAATGAGGTGTCTTCCTCTACGTTTTGGTGGTACTTGTTCTTACTTTTACTTATTCTTCGTAGTCACCAAGACGTCAACCAGGACCCAGGAACTAGGAGGATTAAAGGTATATTCGAATGGAGAGATAGAAATTCATAGTTATTCGCTAGGGGAGGGTAGAAGTGATGAACCTCAATTTCTCGAATGCTTTTTATAGGGAAAATCGCGTAAGTTTCACCAATGAGCCTCATCTGTTAAGAAGGAATCCATCACTGATTGATTGGTTAAGTCTGAAAAATGAACTACTGAGTGTACATTTCTTTAGGCCACTGCATGTCTAGTTAATCAGTATAAGTGACGTTCCTCAACAACTAACATCTAAGTTATTGCTTTTTCTGACAGTATAAAAAACTTGGAGAAAAGTGTGTAGCCTAGGTGGTAAGCTGAATTTTGAGGAAGATATGACTCAGCTTTAAAGTAGGGCGAATAAAAAAGCGGACTTTTATTATTACATATCACATTATGCAGACTATAGATACAGCTCAAGTAACTCCTCTCAAAAAGTGTTCTAATTTGAAAAAGATCCAGGGGACGATCTAAAATCTTACGCTAACTGAAACAAAAATTACGTTTCATACAACCGTATTGAACATTGTTTTTCCACAAATCTTGTATGTGAACGCTACATCTGTTGTCTTTGCGTTAGAATGAGCGACTATTCAGATTCAGACGAATCACTTAACGAGTCTCCACCTAAAAAAAAGAACAAATCTCAAAAGTACACTGAAAAGGATCTTTCTGATGACAATGATGAAGAAGAAGAGGACGATGAAGAAGAGGAGGAAGAGGATGATGTTGATGAAGATGAAGAACCTGCTTTAACATCCAAAAGAAAGAGAAGAATGAACTTCGCAGTTAAGGTAAGATACGTGAATTTCTTAGGAATTCATTGATATTTTATCGTTTCGTTCCAATGGTGATATTCACTGATGGTCTGAAAACACCCATGATAAGTTGTATGCAATACTTCCATGGAAATTTTCCTATTGTTCTCCACAATATATAAAAGTATAATGTATATCTCTTCATATTTTGTTCTTCGGACTATACTGATTTAGGATTCTTGAGATAAAATAAGTGTGTTGATAGATATACAGTATTCCATTACGAGTTTCCCACCTGTGAGGTCCTACTCATGAACTGTATTAAAATTGGTGAGCATATAAACATCCTCAACACACATTTCACCTCAAATGCTTTAAGCTGCAGACAATGTAAGTAAGCAGAACAGTTTAGCATCCTTTAACCTTTAAATGCGTATAAAGTTACATTTTGAATAAATATAATGGGTATAATAATACTCCTTCAATAAATACCCAAAGATATTTTCGACCATTGTTGAGAAAATGAGGATATCAACTACTCAAAACCACCTCATATAAGTGCAAGGCATGAGCACCGAAATCAGATATGTCTAGATTACTTCATTCAACCGTAGTAATTTCCTAAACTGTCGTCTATGTTTAAACAGGTAAGTAATTTTGATGACATGTGAATTTCCTAAAGACCATGAATCAGTCTGAAACCACCGGTTTATATTAACCTAAATGTTTAGGAAGTGTCACATGCCTATTCACTGTCAATTTTTTGCCGGGGTTGATTTTGTAGAATTGCATTAGTGATCAGACCCATTTATAATCTTAGCCCACCAACTGTTGCTTTAGTTAAATACAAATTGGTAGTTCCTGATTAGGGTCCACAACATAGTCGTAAAAAGTGGCAGTACAAATTATTCTATTCAGAAATCTCTAGATTCAAATATCCTGGAGTTTTGGAATGCTCAACCATCGACTACCTCGTCAACCTGTTGAGTGTTGTAGAAGTAGGTTGGAAGAAATGTAGGGACGATCAGACCAAAACATGGCTCAAATCCATGAAGCCACTGGCAAATGGACTGAGCCATTTTGGTAGATGTAGACTACCGGATTGGGATCCACGACATGATAGTAATCGATCGTTCGAGACCTTGAGTGACATGGCTCAAAATCGTATGCTGTGGTGCAGGTGTATCCATTCTCTGTGTTCTCACAAATCCTAGTCCTCTGGATTATTCATCATGTTTATATGTCTCTTTTTAAATTGATTTCACTGGATTGCACTTCTCAGATGATAACTTCGACCACTAATCTTTTTGATTACCGTTAATACTTCTACTCCCTCTGCTTCTATGGGATTTGAGTTGATAATTGCGTTCCTGTGCTAATGTGGCCTGGCGACCTGAACTGATGTACGTATGTACGAAGTTCTACGTTGTAGCTAGCTTACTGAGATAGTCAAGTGTGTGACATCATGAGAGACATCATTGAGAGTCTTATTAACCTGTAACCAAAACATCTAGCAAATATCTTTTTCCAAATTGCATGATCATTTTGGAAATTCGCTGTCTAGAATCTGTTTTGTAAATTCATACTTGTAAACAGTAAAACGTCGTCGGAAATCTATCAACTTTTTTAACCTTCCCATGAGAATGGAAATAGATGATATTCAGAGTTACTGCGTATCTTTGGAAACACTTGGTGAGATTGAGGATGTGTACTGGATGAAGTGGTTGGATTGTTTGCTGAGCATGTTAGGTCGTTGTCGATCCTGAAGTAGTACTTATAGTGGGATGACTTCGAGAAAATGTCACACGTACCAAAAACAAAAACAACTCACTAGTCTTAACATTGTTCTCAACTTTAAGGTGATTTATATTTGAGTAATTCACTGACAAGTTTTGGGACTAGTTGTAAACTCTTGTCCTTTCAATGATTAAGAATAACTTATGTGCTAAGTAATGCGATATTTTTCAGTTAAAACGTTAACCGTGTTCTTGGAATATTATGCTATTCGTTTATATAACTTTACTAATTAATATTTTTCACTGTTGCATAGGATATGTTCCATGATGAAGCTTCAGTTGACGAGGATGATGAAGAAGAAGATGAAGAATATGATGATGATGGAGAACTTATTGGTCCGGAAGATGAAGAAGCATTGGATGCTGTACCTGCAGCTCGAGAATTAGATTCTCGTCGAAGAATACGTGAGATCATGGATCAAGATGAAGAGGAAATAGAAAGATATTATCAAGAGCGTTATGAAAACCAAAATTATGTTGATCGTTTTGGTGATGGTGAGGCTATGGCTGATAGTATTGTTCAAAAGGAGCGTCTTCCAGGTATTAAAGATCCTAATCTCTGGGCGCTTCGATGTAAAATGGGTGAAGAAAAAGCTACTGTACTTGCACTAATGCGTAAATTTATAGCCTATCAATTTTCTGACACTCCATTACAAATTAAATCCGCCTTTGCAAAAGAAGGTTTAAAGGGTTATATTTACGTTGAAGCTTTCAAGCAAACTCATGTTAAACAAGCTATAGATGGTATAACAGCTTTACGGCTTTCTACATACAAACAACAACTTGTTCCAATTGAAGAAATGACAGAAGTTGTACGTGTTGTAAAAGAAACTGGTCAACTTAAACCTGACCAATGGGTTCGGATTAAATCTGGACTCTATCGTGATGATTTAGCATTGGTAAGTACAAACGGCTTGACCTTCTGTTGTGAAATCGAATCTTATTACTATGGGTGTTATTTATTTAAAAGTTCTTTCTAATTGGCGGTCTTATGTCTCATTTAAAAAGCTTTCCTCATCACTCTAGATAACATTCTACGTAAAAATAATGTAGTACTTGTATTTTGATGAATAATAGTAATAGTAATGGTTGCTTTATTCAGTACAATATATTTGGTACAGTATGAATTTCTCTGAATGGAATATCTCAACAAGTTTCCCCTGTTCTGTGTTATATGTAACGGAAAATCTGTTTAAAATTAAAATTTTTCTAAGGTAAAAAACAAAGCTTACAGTTAGTAAACGCATTTTTTATGCTTTACCTTCGGAATTGGTTCGCTGTATACAACCAGTGAAAACCAGAAAAGACTGAAGTTTCATCCTTGCAAGAGACTCCCTACTAGCAAGTATCCACGATCTTGTTATAGATCAAAACGTGGACCTGGGGGACTTCGCAGCAAGTAATTAGCCCACCTTTTGTCAACACTATGGTGAAAAAGAAGATAGTGAAGAATATAAGCTTTGTAACAAGAAGATTCATGCAAATAAATATCCGATTAAGCGTAATAAACACTACAAATTAGATTATTTCTGATAACAGTATATGAGCCGACTGCCGCGACGAGCTATGTTTTGTGGTGTAGGAGTAGGTTGGAAGAAAGCTACAGGTGGCCAAACCAAAACATGGCAGAAATCCATGAAGTCACTCACAAGTGGACTGAGTCATGTTGATAGATGTAGGCTACCTGGTTGGGGTCCGCGAGACGAAAGTCACCAATGGTTAGAGATCCTTGAACGACATGGCTCAAAATCGTTTGCAAAGGCGCAGGTGCATCCACTCTTTGTGTGCTTTTTAATTCTAACCTGAATTCCTCATAATCTCTATCTTTCTCCTCCTAAATTTATCTCACTGAATTATACCCTACTCTTCTTCTACTATCGCTATCACTCTTGGATTTGAACTGACAATTGCGTCTCTGTGCTAATGTGTGGTATGGCAACCTAAACTGATGTACTTATGTACGAAGTTCTGTGTTGTATCTGTCTGTCTGTCTGTCTGTCTGTATATGAACGTTTAATATTACATAAACAATATTTCATAATTTTCTTATTTCTAAAGATGTCTACTAAATCACTTTTGCTTACGCAAATTGCTTGTACAATGAATGGAGTGAAGTGATTATGTAGTGAACGAGAACACAGGTGGGGCAACCAGATTGTATTTAACGAAAATTACAGAATTACTCAGTAAAGTAGGGAAAACCATATCGTAAATCGTTAGTTAATTTGCAAAATATCAGTTCATCATCATATCGAACTGGACTGTTCCTGTTGCAAAACATCATCAATCCATTGTCACTACTATTCATGCTATTTCATACAAATTCCATTGTGTTCTTCTAACTCTTCCTTTCTCTTGATCTTCCTTCATCTTCTGCTACTGCCAGACATTATTACGTTGACACTCATGTCATATACTACTTATAAGTAGCTTGCACCACAGTTATATTCAGTTAAACAATTTTCCAATAATTTCTTTCTTTCCTTCATTTTTGTCAGGTTGAATATGTTGAAGATGCACAAAATTTAGTCGGTCTTAAATTAGTTCCACGAATTGATTATGAACGTAAACGTAATCGTGGTATGGATTTAGAAAATGATATCAATAATAATAATAATAATAATATTAATAAGTTTAAACGTTTCAAACGTCCAGCTCCAGCGTTATTCAATGCATCGAAATTAGCTGATCGTATACAACGTGATGGTTCGTCGATGATTTTTGAAGGGAATCGTTATGATGCTGATGGATTTTTGCATAAACAATTTCGTATTAATGCTGTGGTAAGTAAAAATATTATTCTTATTTTTTCTTCGTGTTAATATCCTATTGAACTTTGAACGTTTCAAGTTTCAAGTGCATCATGACCTTATAAAAATTGTTGTATACTTGTTACTTGTTGTAGATAAGAGAGGTAGTAGGGGTTGTAGGAAGGATTTGATTTTGACCAATTTGGTCTCATGTGCTGTTACGGGTATGAGGGTGGTTGTCACTTCCCGGTTGCTTACACCGTGGAAGGTTGTTTCTTGAGGGACCTGAAAAGGAAGGTAGATTAGCGTTGGTCTTAGAGACCTGAGAGCGTGACCTCAGAGCCCAAGGGACAACTGCTTAAGGCCGGTCACACACGGCCTTTTTATGAAAGGATTTTTGAGGATTAGCTCCGTTCTTAAAAGCCCTTAGTGGGCACCCTTACTGCCGGAGACGGGAATCTGTGAGTTAGAGTGAGGTGTGACATTTTTAGGGTCGACCACCTTCTAACCCTTCCTTCCTTCCTTGTGAGAAGGCAGCAGCATCGCTGCAGATGCTGGTTGTCCGAGGGAAACACCTTACTGCTGTCACACCCCTCTGCAGTCAGCAGTACGACTTCGCCCTCAGACGTTGAGTAGCTGCTTTTAGTCTCATCGTTCTCCAATCGACCTGCCTGTCATGGCAGAACCTTCAGGAAGATATGTTCCAGCCAGTTGGGTCATCACGATAGGCAAGCCCGACCACCA